ACCACCACCACTATATAGATGAATTAGTAGTTGACTTGTGCAATTATACCTGTTATTTTTTCAAAAAAATATTTAATGATATAATATGTATTATAAAAAAATAATTTTAATTTTAATTTAAAATTCAAATTCTTTTTTTTATAACACACACATCGTACCATCAAATATTTTTTTGAAAAAAATAATACGTGCATTGTACAAATGAACTACTAATTATATGTATATATTATAAAAAGAAGAAAAAGTTATTTATCAAATCCGAATGATTTCAATTGTAAGGTTTCAATATGTTTACCAAATTATGTTTTTTTTTTTGAACAACGAATCTTAAAAACATAATTTTAAAATTTAAATTATATTTTTAGAATATGATTACAAAAAAATTCATATATAATAATATAATGGGCAAACTTCAGTTTATCCTCCTATGGTTTAGGCCATGTGTGGATTACTCTTGACTTTCGAATATCACCACATAACCCCCTGTGGATGATGGAGTAATATGCACCGTTAGCTTTTCAGTGTATTCTAACCTGTTGTGCAGTGCATGCGAACGTGATACAAGTGGGCATGAACTGATGATGTTCCCTATGTTCCCTCACAATGGAAAGACCAAAATGACCTTATCTTTATCATCAATTTTCAATGAATACCCTCATATTATTTTGTTTATCTTCATAATCTTCATCATCAGATTTGGACTTCAAAATCAAAAATTAAAAGCATAATGAAAAAATAAAAGTAGAATGATTTTTATTTTGATTTCAAAATCATCACCTACCACCGTTAATGGTTTTGATTTTGATTTTCTTCATCTTCATCATCCTCTCTTGTGATGCTTTTATCTTTATATTTATCAAATAAAGAAATCATCAAATTTAGACCAAAACCCAAAACCCCAAATGAACAATTCAATTTTATTTCAAAACCTAAACTACAATCATAATCCATGAACCCCAAGAAATAGAAAGAGCTTTTCCTGGATTTCATTACTTTCTCATCCTCTTCATCTTCTTTACTAGATTCCATCTTCAATTGAAGAAAATAGGAAGTCGAAGACGACGGCAGCAACACCGGTGGTAGTGGTGGCGTATAGAAGAAGTAAGTCAACTGAATCTTCATTGAAATCAAAGAAGATTATATATATATATGTGTGTGTGTATACATATATATAGCCACAAATTATATACATTGGATTCCACTAAAAAGTTTGCTAACTTACTCCATTTCTTCCTTTCTTTCTTTCTTTCTTTTCTCTCTCTCTTTATCTGTTTCTCTCTCTGGATTGATGTGTTACTATCATAAGAAATTAAGAGAAAGATAACAAAATCAAAATCATCACATTACCCCTACTGTAAATGTGATGATTTATTTTGTGACTAAAAATGTGATGATTTTGTGTAAATTGATGAACTTAGGAAATGTAATTGAAACTCTTCTCAAATGCACAATTGAATGAAAAATGATAAATAAGAGATATATATACACAAAGATAAATTGTTCTTCTTACATCTATCATTAATGGTATTAACTGTTCATTTTACTCCATCAACCACAGGAAAATTATATAGTGATATTCGAAAGTTAATGGAGTAATCCATAAATAACCAAAATCATAGGAGAGTAAAGTGAAATTTGTCCTTTATTTTATTTTGTGGATGCTTTTGGTGCTTCGGAAAGTTGACAAATCACTACATGCCACCTCAGTTTTGTCAATTACCAAACACGTTTGTAGTTTATGTTTTTCTAAAAATAAACAAAAACCAGTTTATAAAATTTTTGTAAATATAAACTGAAAAAGTAAACGTTACCAAACACACCCTAAAAGTTCCTCAAGAGTATCATTGTTGTACAAGTTTTTTTCTTCTATGAGTTGTGATTATATAAAATAATGTAAGAAATGAAATATCATTTCATACATAGAATCACTATAAAATTTAAACGACAAATTCATAATATAGAATTCGTATTGGGTATAGAATAATACATGAAAAAATAAAAAGAAGAAAAAAAAAAAAAGAAGAAGACAATTTAACATTAAAGAAAATCCTAATGTCCTTAAAAGAATTAAAAGGAAAAAACGTGACACGCAAAATTAGTATTAAGTTTGTGGATAATCTCAATTTATCATGAAAAATATATGGAAAAGAAATATTTGTCAAATAGAGTCCATATAAAATGAGTGGTGTTATATACACTAATTACTGTACTAACTAGTGTACCAACACAAGTTATGACATTATTATTGATCCCATTTATTATACAAATTACAAATATCAAAAATATCTTAAATTATGTCATATCATCAATTGATACACTAATTAGTGCACTAATTGGTGCATATAGTATTGTTCATGCAAAATAGGTAAAATTAGTATGATTTAAATTAAGTTTAGATTTGTGTAGATTTCTATATGTAATTAAGAAAATACATACTAACGTGACTCTCTTAAAAAAAAAGTAAGTCCTTATAATGTATTACATAACTACGAAAAAAAACTTCACTTTTAATAATATGTATATATATATATATATATATGATATGATTTGCTTGTAATCAAGAGATTAATGGGAATTGGTGCAGCTAGCTAGCTAACACATCTACATCAAATTAAATCTATTCATAATCAATTAAATTAAATAAACCATGTGTATCAATAGTTTCTCTCTGCTTGATTAATTGCTTTAGGTACATAACCATAAAGTTTATATATATATATATATAAACTAATGAAAATTGCCGCCCCATCACTCGAGATGTTCCATTTTCTAGCCAAAAATAAAAATTTTAAAAAAAATTATAGTCCCCACCAAACTTTTGTGGTGGAGTATTTTGATGAATTGAAAACCAAGGAGTGAAATTAAGAGAGAATAATAGGGAATATCCATGTCAAGTTGCTTCCTTTAAAAAAATAATTTATATATATATATATATATATATTAGAGAGGAGAGAGATGATCTAGGCTATGAGAAATTAAACACACACCACCCTCTTTTTATCATAAAATTATTAGAAGGTGTGGACATCTATATAAGTGTTTATAAAATTAAAAATTAAAAATATATAGAATATGGAAGTGACAGAAGAATATTTTTGAAAAATAAAAATATTCACATATACACTGACTTATTTACTTTACATATTAATATAGAAGATAAGAATCATAATTGGTTAAAGGGAAAATTAGTTTAGGATCCCTCTCCTACTTTTCGTAAGAAAAGAGATCCACAAAATTATTTTTTGATGTTTAAGGTCCCTCACATCTATCACAGAGAACCTTTTGTCTACTCTCATTCATCACCACGATCAAACACGCACACACAGTGAGTTCACTGCACACAGACATGTACATACATACAGAGAGAGAAACCCAAATCTATCTAGAGAGGGAAAATGAAGATGATCGAAAAAACAGTCCTTTCTCTCCTACTCATCCACTCTCAAACTCACCGGTGATTGCTTTCGGTGACTAACAATCGCACCAGTTGAGAATCGTCGATTTGAGATTCAAAAGATTATATTAATTAACAGCATGTGAGTAGCTTTGAGATGTTCATCTTGATCACCGTCAAAACCTTTATTCTATCCCTGTAATCAAGACCCAAATATCAGATAGCACAGTTGCATTCTTCTGGGATCCCAATGCACAACAGTTCATAGTCCGAACGCATTAGATGGTTTTTCTCACTTCTCTCCTTTATCCTCCCATCTTCCTCATTTTGTTAATGCACCGTGGTTTCTTAGATATCAAACTCCGTGAAAGTGGAGCCTCCTCCATTTTCTCATACAATTCTGTTCCATATCAACAGACAGTTTCACCTCCTCTTGTCCTCAAACTACTTAATTGATTAATTATCTTCACACCAGTTGAGTCGCACCAGTTGAGAATCGTCGATTTGAGATTCAAATTGGGGATGATAGTGGAGAAATCCCATCTATTCTGCATAGGTCTACCACATCCGACGCTCTCAAGTTCCCGAACAAAAAGTAAGAATAATAATACTGAATTTTCTCTAGGTTAAAACCAAAGAAATTCTTTGGTTTTTTAACTGAATTTTCTCTGGGTTGAAACCAGAGAAATTCTCTAGTTTTTAAACTGAATTTTCTCTGGGTTGGTCCAGAGAAATTCTTTGGTTTTTAAACTGAATTTTCCCGATTCAAGAATTTCAGTACTATGGAGATCCTGGTAGATTTCGGCAAATCATCACAATCTCATGGGTAATTCAATCAAGGTAAGTATGCATCGGCTTCTCAAATTTCAGTCCAACAACCCAGAGAAAATTCAGACCAACCAAACTAGAGAATTTCTCTGGACCAACCCAGAGAAAATTCAGTTCAGACCAAAGAAAATTCAGTCTAAACCAAAGAATTTTTCTAGACCATGTAAACAAAGCCCATGGTGGTAACGCTGGAAATTCAAACAGGTGAAGAAATTATGAAAATATTGAGGAATTTTCTTTGGACCAATTTTCTCTGGATCAATTTTCTTTAGACCAATTTTCTCTAGATCAATTTTGTCTTGACCAATTTTTTTCGAATCAACTTGAGGGACCTTAGACATTATGAAAATATTGAGTGTCCTTTATACTGTAAAGTCTTAATACCGGGGACCTGAAAAAAAATTTCCCTTGGTTAAAACCTTATCAATGAACCATTTTACAACTATTGCGTTGTAAAAAATGCACTCTAGCCACTCTTAAATTCAACATCAAACATTGTGTGCATTCACTTATTGAAAGAATGCCCAAACAGTCCATAAAGAAATCAAATTACACATAATACCAAATTGAGGCGGCATATATAGTAGAAAGTAGGGACTTCATTTATTTACAATATATTAATTTATAATTCTATGATTTAATGTAAACAGGAAAATTGAAGATAACTCCACGTGGACATGTTGCCTTTTTCGAAGGATCCTTGGTCCCACTCTAGGAAAAATTGGAAAGAGTCCAATGATTTACAAATTCCCCCACCTTCAAACTCTCCACAAAAAACTTGTTTCGTACACTTTATTCTTTCTATATTGTATTTTTCTAAGTCATGCCAAAAATACTTACAAATTATGCATGATCATATAATTGTGTAAATCAAATGATCATGCATCTTTTACTATTGGATAATACATAACCATCTGATCGCACCAACCAGAACCATGTTTTGGGTTGTGTTTGGTGAGTATATATAAGTATACTATATTGGAAAAGTAAAATTGTATACATACACTTTGCTCTACCCTTTGTAACTAAGGATGATGCAATGCTTTGTTGCAACCTCATCTTTCTTCTTCTTCTTCTTCTTCTTCTTTTTCTTCTTTTTTTTTTTTTTTTTTTTTCTCCTCTCTATAATCATTCTAAATCTCTATGTGAATGCAGGTGTTGGAGATGGGTGTGACTTTTAGTGGGGTTGGTGGTGTAAATATATATAGTAGGTCCATATGCACCCCCAAAAAATCTTTAAAAATGCTCCTTGTGGAATTCAAACTTGGTGGAACCTTTTTGATTAAACTCATGACAGAGTTTGTTGAGTTCTTTAGCCAAGACTGGTGCTCCACAGTAGAAAACTCCTGCTCCAAATTACCCAAACCACAAAGAATTATAATATTAGAAGAATCCTAATGAAATTATGTTGTTTTTCAAATTGTAATAGAGGTTGACTCACCTATTCTTGCATTAGCATGCTTTGTACATAGTTTAGACAAAACCTTTTTCCAATTAGGCCTTGCAAAATGAGTTCTCACCTGAAGATGGAGAACACATGGAAGGTCTGTGAGCAAACGTAGTAAATAGAAAGACACTTCACTAATTAACTAAAAGTCCTAAATATACATTAACCCATTGCATACAGTATTATAATACAAAGGACTGAAAGAGATCAATCTTTACCCTAGTGCCGGATACAACATCAACCCCGCTCTTAGCATGGTTTAGTGCTTGGACCATGGTGATGAGTGCAGATCTAGCATCCCCTTCTTCATAAACACTTGTCAAGTAATTGTGCATCTCAATCACACCCTGAGATCCAAAATGACAAAGTTAACAATCAATAAACCCCAAAAAAACATTAAACTACAAGTCTTATAGTCTGAACGTTTCATGTTACCCTTTGATCAAGATCAGCAACTTCATTCATGACCCCTTTGAACCAATCAAATGAGCCTTGCTCCCTAGTTACCCAATAGAAGTAGGCATTTGTTGTCTTCAGAGTTTTCTTTGTTTTTAGATGAACCTTATTGAGGGAGGCAGATTCAGTAGTGGCAACACTCTGATCTGAGTTCACTGAATTTTCTCTGGTCTGAGACTGATTCCTGAAACGTAAGAATAATTGTCAATATGATCAAGGATTTCATGTGTAATATCATCGCTGAAAACATGAAAGACCAATCAAAAACAACCACAATGGTAACAGACAAAGGGCATTTTTATTTTTTCATTCTTTTATTTTTAGCATGATGAGTACTTAAATGATTTTCTTTAATGGCTGTGATTACTTACAGCTAGTTCCTCCATTTTGACAATGCTGTTGAGCAAATCTTTCAGTATACTGATAAAAGGTGTTGCTCCAATCCCAAGACCAACAAGTAGTAGGACATCATAATTTCGGTAATCTTGTGCTGGAGCTCCATAAGGCCCATCTATTAAGAGCTTTGGCAAACTGTTATCGAGCCAACAATTTCACATAACAATTATTTGAACATCTGAATCAGAAAGCAAAAAAGTAACTTATGAGAAACCATACAAACTCAGAAATAAAACAAACCTCTTTTTTGTTGTTTCATCAGCTCTGAGTAGCCCACTCTTCCCAGCAACCGGAATCTCACAGGCCTCTGAGAAAACCCTCTTAAGCTCTTGTGTCCAGTCACCTAGCTGCCGGATGTGAATGCTAAGGTAGTCATCATCAGGGGCTGAGGTTATGGAGAACGGGTGCCTGGAGAATATAAATTATTGGACATTAGCATTAAACATTAGGAGAAAGAAAGAACAGAAGCAAAATAGAGGCTTGACCATCTTGAACTTGATACCCTTCATATTTTGCCTCAAAATATTCTTGAAATAAATAAAACAATTGCTCCTGCATCCTGACCATTTACTATTGTCAGGACCAAATTGAATACTACATGTTATCATCTGCATAACTTTGTGTTCCATTACTTGTATTGTCAGGAAGAGAAAAATAAAATAAGACAATCCAGAATGGTAATTAAACTGAGTTCACTAGCCTTGCACACTTTAATATAATGGGGAATTGAATGTTTGAGGGTGTCGATAGTGATTTACCACTCAAATGGAGAAACAGCAGGGCACTGGACGAACATGTATTGTCCACTCTTGTATCGAAACTGGGGAGGCTTGGACATTTGCAATGTGAGAACGTTTCCCGGATATATAGCAACCTGAGAGTTTTAACATTAAGAAAGATGGACTGAACAAGTCAACAAACATGCAGAGGACAGCTATACATGAGAGATCCAAACGGAAGCAATGATCTCAGTCATGTGAACTTTGGTTCCAACAAGTGGCTGCACATGCAAACATTTAAATTATGTGGCAGAATCAGTTGACATATTATGCTAACCTTTAGAAGCCGGACATGACAGAAGCCAGATCTAAAGAATCTCACAGTTCTTTCCCCTGCATAGAAGAGAACAGGAACAGCAAGATACATCCATGTCTGCAAGCAAAAAATATGACATTGAGACCAATAGAAATTAACATCCCTTAAACTCATACTTGTATAAAATTAAGAAAAAAGGATTTCAAATTATACCGTCTTAAGGTACCATTTGTGCACAAGATACAAAAACGTGCCATGGGTGATGAGCAAGATGTAGACAATGACGAACAGATGGTGTGAATACCAGAAGGCATTGAAGCCTGTCAACCTATCAAAGGGCTTGGGCAGCTTAATAAGGCTCCGCCTAAACCACCGTGTTGCGAGTGTGAAAGCAATAGACATGCAAATCACCATTAGAATTCCTGTCACACCCTCGGCCCCTTGAATCAAGCCCGTGTACTTTGGCTTATGAGGGCCAAAATCATTGATCAAATAAAGCTTATACTTTGCATCGGACTCATTTATAATCCTTGGGAAATCACATGCCAAATGGTTTCCAACGTGAAGTATGACACCAATTACTATGGCAGCAGCAATGGTCTACACAAGTAAGGAAAACAGAAACATTTAAAATTCTTATAGTAATTAACTGGACATATTTTACAAAATTCATAGAATTTCCAGTAGCATGACAATAGAACCAAGGTAACCATATTTTACAGCAAATAGCGATTCAATCAGTTCTTTTTTGTCAACCTATCATGCTTGCAAAGTTGCAATTATAATCCCAGAATGATGTGGCTTGATTCTTGAGTGATCATATGATGATTCCTTTAAAAAGACTTGACAGATGTAAGTTATAAAGCAAGCAATTATGTGCTTTGTCTAATCCACTAAACACCTCCTCATGGTAAATGTAATTTAGACCAATAATTGTGAAGCTTAACAAACTTTGATGTTGTCATCAAAACAAAAGACTCGGATCAGTAGTAAGAATCAGAGAATCTTGGGTTGGGAACACAGAATACATGAATTGCTTACAGTGGTAAATTGGTAATAAGATTCATGATCTCTTTCAGGCCGTATTGTCTCCTTACTCTTTTCTTTTTTTTTTCTCAGAGGAATTATGAACTCACAATTTTTAACCCAAATTTGATCCAGAATAACAATTAATGATTCAAATTCATTTCACTTACAACCCACACACTTCATCAACTTCGTAATTCTGGACAATTTCTGGACCATAAATCTGGTTCCTCACTTTTTCCTTCTTTTTTTATTTATTTATAAGAATATAAGATTGTTTCCACTTTTCATAAGAGATTTTTACGGACCAGTCCTGTTTTCAAGGATTATTACCCAGCAGGTCCTTAATGATGACTCTTTTACTTATAGGTCCTGAACATTTTTGTTTATTCCATTTTTGTCCTCATATTTTATATCCAGATCTGTGAGATGAAAGATGAAAAATGAAAATAAAAAAGAAGCGCTCTCTCTCTCTTTACACATTCCTCCATCAACAACCATTGCCATCTCCACCATTGCCAACCACCGCCACCTCTACTGTCATCATTGTCGGCGACCTCAACCGGCATCTTCTTCCACTTTCACCATTGCTTCCACCTCTACCGGCATTGTCGACCACTGTCGCCTCTACCTCCATAGTCACCGTCGCCTCCATCTCTAGATCTGGGATCTATGCTCTTTGTTCTTTTCTCTCTCTCTCTGTATATTGGGGGAAGATCCCAGTGATAAATCTGTTTAAACTAGTGATAAATCTGTTTAAACTAGTGATAAATCAGTGACAAATTTGTTTAAACTAATGATAAATCAGTGTAAAATTTGTTTAAATCAGTGATAAACCAGTGATAAGTTTGTTTTTGTGAATTTATCACTGTTTAAACCAATAATAAGTTTGTTTTTGTGAATTTATCATTGAAATTTGTCATTGTTTAAACTAGTGATAAGTTTGTTTTTGTGAATTTATTATTGAAATTTTTGAGTTATAGTGTTGAGTGTAGGGCTAAAAATAAAAAACACTGTTTGAACCAGTAGTTGTCAAATCGGGATTCGTATCGTAAATCGAAATAGTCTCGTACCGAATCACGAATCGAATCGAATCGTGAATCGTAAAGATTCAGTCACTTTTTCTAAATTACTTAAAAACATATATCTACACATTTAGATGTTAAATACATCTTATGAATATAAAATATTTAGACTTAAATCAACAAAAATGTTATTTTGAATGATAATCACTTTTCTCGAAAACAACCATATCAATCAACGCCATAGGCGATTCATCTTTCCTTTTTTTTTTTTTTTTTTTTAGATATTTTTTATCAATCATTCTTAAAAAAGATAATAACCAAATAGATAAACTATTAATTTCTAAATTAACAATAGTTCACAACGATATTGATATTTCGATAATAAGCATATATACTTTTTTAAGTAAGAGTGAGCAAATAATAAGAAAGAATTATTTAGGATATTTTATTTTAAAGCCTAAAACATTTTAAAAAGTAAAATTGACCTCACACATGTAATATTCAATTTAATAAAATAGTAATAGATAATTCATAGTGTAACTTTAATCTTAAACATCTTTAGAAGATATATTACAATTTTTTGAAGGGGAAAAAAATGAGAAGAAATGTTAAAAACATGTTAGGTCTGACTGAATCTGATTGGATCTTATAAAAAACTCCATAATCACTAAAATAACAACAAATCATATATATATGTTGGTTATTTTGGTATTAAATGCTATTAGAAGTTGTATTATGTCATTTTCACTAAAAAGATGAAAAAAATGAGTCGAAAATATGTCGAACACAATAATTTCAAAAATTGCATAAATCGTAAAAAGTGAATCGAATCGTGAATCGATTGTGAATCATGCAATTCAGTAGAGATTCACTTCCAAAATAGATTCACTCATAGATTCGTATCGATTTTGCAAAAATTGCGTATCCAATCGTGAATCGAATTGCGAATCGCGAATCGTAAGATTCTAATAACAGCCGGTGATAAATTTATCACTGTTGAATATTTTGTAAATTTGTTTTTGTGAATTACTAAGTGAGTGTGTATGTATATGAGGATGTTTATTAGTGACAAATTTATCACTACTAAATTATTGTGAATTTATTTTTGTGAATTAGTAAGTGTGTAGATATGATTTTGTGAATTAGTGAGTGAGCGTGTATGTGTGGGAGTATGAGAGAACAAAAGGAACAAAAGGAACACAACATATAGAGAAGGGCTCACAGGGAGAACTCGTGAGCAGTTTCTTTGTTTCACGCATGTAGTGTAATATTAAAGGGTAAAATTGGAAACGGAAATAAGACAGGACTTGGCCAGTATTAATTTACTTCTATGGGACCGGCTGGCAATAAAAGCTTCTTTGGGTCCATAAAGAAATTTGTGTTTCTTCTCTTCCTTCTTTTCATAGTTCGTTTAAAGTTATGACAGAGTCAACTGTTTCTCGTTTCCACTAGCAAAAAGCCAAGCAGTCACTTTTGCTGTGTTCACAAGTAATTTCCCCAAGTACATATATTGGTCACCAATAATGTTAAGAGATCTTAAAAATTTATTAAAATTTTTACCAAAAATCTTATATAGATGTGAGACTCATATAATATGAGTGTACGTGAATTTCACATCCACACGAGACATTTAGTAAAATTTTTAAGATTTCTAGTATTTTTTATTTGTCACTACTGTCTACCCACTTTTTTATTCAAAGACTGGTCGACTGATCAAACGCACTTTATAAGTGGACCCAAAAGATGAACGTATAAAAGAGAAGCAAAATTAAAACAAATAAATAAATAAATAAAGAGGAGTTGGGTATTAGGGGTCTACCTTGTGAAAGTTGATATTATCGTCAAAGGGTAGAAAAAAACCCAATTTGGTGGACCTCAGCCAAGTAATAGTGTTCCTGCACACAGGCAATAAGATAAGAGCCATGTTGAATTTGAGAGTCTCGGCTGCGCCCTTAGCCGTGAGGAGACAATAACCCATGACCTTGAATGCATTTTTCTGTTTGTACTGAAAGAACTTCCAAGTGAACAGACCAGCCATTATCATGATCCACAGGCAGAGAACCCAAACTCTCCTCCAGTTATCTTGCAGGAAGTAGAGAAGTTTTGAAGTCATGGTTCGTAATGGGCCTCTTTTTGTTAGCCCATGTAGGCTCTGGCTCAAGGCTTGGCTCGTGTAGCTGAGTGCTTGACTGTAATTGAGATATGTGTCTTTCTGTAAAAGAAGTGTCTCCAGCTGCCATAGCTGCATTTTAACAAAATTAATTGATCAGAAATTAGACCATTGCAATCAATTCAATTAATAACGGAAGATAAAATGGTTATATCTACTCATTAATTATTACAGCAGTGCATGTGGTGTTTTGAGTGCTGAATGCGCACATTTGAGGGGTTATAGTAACATGATTGGTGGAGAATGTGAAGTATTAATTATTGGAGAGGGATTTCTTCTAATCTAGATTTTGGATTGAAGGGTGCTATTTGGGCCCGTGGGGTTCACCATAGGTCCCGTTTCAATAATCCGAACCGTTCATTTTGTTAGATACTTCGTGTATTTCATCCATACAAAAAAATTAGGTTAATCAGATAACTGTAACTTAATTTAATTTTTTACGAAAAAAATAGACAACAATTGTGTTTTAAAAAATAAATCATATATTTTTTTAGTGATAAACACAATAAATTGAACAAGTTACAGTTATCGAATCGATTTAATTTTTTTTGTGGACGAAATACATGAAGTGTTCGACAAAATGAACGGTTCAGATTATCAAAACAGGACCTGTGGTAGACTCTATGGGCCCAAACAGCTCCCTCTAAACTGGAGGGGATCTTCCTCTTTAATTATTTGTGTTTGGTGATTGAAGAATATGAAGATATATAATGAATGGTAATTAGTGAGGGAGTATGGTCTCACAATATTATGGGATTATTATATAATTTTTCATGAGTTCAAATGCTCTCTGAGCCTCTGTTTGGCAAGTTGGTTCTTGGGCTTTTTTGGCTATTTTAGCCACAAAAAACAAAATAGGCTATTTTAGTCATAACAAACAAAACATCACATCCAACCCATAATCATTACATTCTTCTTTCACAAAAAAACTCAAAAAAGCCAAAAAGCCCTTCCCAAACAAAGCTTTTAAGCCCAGGCTAAAATAGCCAAAAAAGCCAAAAAGCCAAAAAGCCAACCCACTTCCCAAACGGAGGCTGAGTGCGTTTGTTTTGAGGGATTATTTTATGGGATTGGATTATTAGTCTATTTGGACAAATAGTCCATTATTTTGTTCAATTTTTTTTGCTCCGGATTAATAGTCCCTTCGGACTATTAGTCCCTTATACGAGGAATTATTGTATCCTAGGAGGAGGGGTGGAATTATTTGTATAGGATTGGTATCCCATGGGACTAATATGTAAAATGTCCATTTTACCCTTATGCTATTACTTAATAAACAATTCGAAAAGGATAGAATAGTATTTTGAACATTTATAAATTATTTTTTTAGTGTTGTTAATTTAAAATTATATATTAAATAAAAAAATATAAATTAGAAATTAAATTTAATTAAAAATAATAAATTAAAAATTATGGCCTTAAAATTTTTTTAGTGTTGTTAAAAAAATTAAATTTATATATTAAATAAAATTATTTTTTCAGTGTTGTTAATTTAAAATTATATATTAAATAAAAAATATAAATTATAAGGGTAAAATAGTCTTTTGAATATTTATCCTTATCCAGTTCGTCCAACCAAATATTGAATTCACTAAAAATAGTCTAATCCAGAAATATAATCTCATGACTAAACAAACATAGGATACAAATCCAGTCTAACCAAATAGTCCGATAACAATGTATCCCAAAACTAACAGTCCGATGAATTACAATCCCCCCTTATTCAATCCGTCTAAACAAACACACACTCTACGTATTATGATGGGGTGCACTAGGCCATGTAATGAACTAAAAAAAAAATTATCCTAGCAATAATTTAATAATCAAAGAGTTACGTTGATGTTTTGAAGTTTAAACAATGTTGATTATCTGGGGAAAAAATTGATTTCACAAGATTCACTTAAGTGATCTAAATCGTTAATTTTTTAGTATCCACTAATAGATCATTCATATACATATACATATATATATATATATATATATAAGTTAAAAAATTAAAAAAAAAAGAGACTAAATTGATGTGATATTGCTAGTTATATTATCTAATCACATTTGTCTCTATGGATGCAAGCACAATTTTGATGATAGAATAAATGTAATTCAATCATGTAACTGTTAATATCTAATTATCTTAATTATTCACATTAATGCTCTACTAAATAGTCCATATAAAATAAATAATTTAAATTATCAAGGTGGACCTAAGATGTGGCCACTGTGGCCCAACAAAACCTAAATAGTTTATTTTGCCACAATATTTTTTAAGGATATAAATAAGTGAAAAATAAGTAAGACTTATGGATAAAATTAAACAAGTCTCTTCAGTAGGACCGATCCCCTAAATAGTTTATTCAAATTGCAATTGTGCTGCATTTTTAGAGCAGCTAATATAAAATACTATCGATCATTACATATCTGCCCCATAAAACTCATAAACTCAAAATTTTTGTACATTTCATAATGGCATCTTACATAGTATTTAACCTATTTAGTTTTAGTTTTTAGAATTCACTTTTTAAAAAATTATAATTTTTTGTTTTCTGTATTTTTTTTATTTTCACTGAATTTTTTTAATATTTTAAGTAATTTTTTTTAATTTTTAGACAATAACATAAATACACTTAAAAAGTATAACTAAATTCCAAAAATTCAATACATTTTTTGTATTTTTGTGTATTTATTAATTTTTTTAATATATATTTTTCACAAATATTTTATTATTTAGATACATCTAAGTAAAATACATCTAAAAATATAAAAAAATTACTTACAATTTTAAAAATATTTAATAAAATAAAAAAACACGAAAAATAAATAACTCATTTTCAGAAAACTGAATTTAGAAAACTAAAACCAAATGTACTGATTATCTTTGTAATAATATAATGCATGAAAGGTGAGATTCATTGCAATCTTGATTTTTAAAAAAGATATTTTGTGGTAATAAAAAATAAAATAATGAACTAATATTTTACTATAACAAAAAATAAAATAAAGAATTAATATTTTGAGACGTAGGAAATATTATCTTTGTAATAATATAATGCATGAAAGGTGAGATACATTACAGCCACAAACACTTTCGATAATAGGAAAATTTAGTAGAAAAATTTAGGTTGTATTTGGTAGAGTTTTCTAAATATGATTTAAGAATAAAGTTGTATTTTGAGTTTGTGAGTTTTGAAATTATGATTTGAGTGTGTAAAATTTGTTTGGTGAATGAGTTTTGAAAAAAGTTTTGAATTGACTGAGAAATTTTTGATGTGACATACGATATTTGAGACAAAAACTTACAACTCATAATCAAAAACACAACTCAAAATTCTATTAAAGCTCATAAAAAATTTTAAAAAATTCAGAAAATATTTTTTGTTGAGTATATAAAAATTAACATGTGTCAATTACAAAAAAAAAAAATTTACACTGTTCCGATCAACCAGTAAGACGACCGGTTAGCACAAATTCTTCCCCCTTCAACCGCGTTATGAAATTAATTTTTAAAAATCGTAAATAAACACTATGCTTAAATCAAACTCTGAAACTAACATTTCGGAACTCCACCAAACAGAGCCTCAGTCATTAACCCTTTTTTGTTCAAAGCTAAGAGCCACTCACACTTTCTTTCTCTCTTTCCTTTCATTTTCTGAGTTGGCTTGGTCAGTCGTGAGCAGGTAACCATAATTAGGTGCGGAACATATAATTCAATTAAATAACATTAACCGAGAAAAACGAGTCCTACCCACTCTAAGAAATGGTCATATATAGAGCAGCTAGTAAATTTGTCGGACCCATTTAAGCCTTTCACATACCTTACATTATTTCTTTAATTTTCTGGGAATGTCTCTTTGACCAATCGTGAAAATAAATTAGTGGAAGTAACGAAAATGTTAGACTTTATGAAAAATTCTTTATAAAAATGATCATGAACAAATCTCTATCTTTATATTATATATTGTAATTTATTGTATATTTAATTTAAGAGTTAAAAATCTCTTGTAACTATTTTTATAAAATATTATTTTAACGATACGTAAGATTATTCGGAAAGTAAACGATCCTAAAAAAAGGTCAAAACAAAAGAAAAGGAAAAGTGGTTCAACCACCAATAACTTTTGTCTCGGGTCAGGTAATAAACCGGGCTCGGAATTCAGACACATTTTTTGAGTAAATTATAAATGACCCTTCAAATTTGTCCAAAATACAGATTATCCTCTTTTATACTACTAGAAATTATATTTTGTCTTTTTACGTTTTTAGTCGCATAAATTTTATTAAAAATTATTAAATCAATTAATAATTTTTAATTAAAGATATTTGAATATATTTTGATTAACAATTTAAGTAATTTTATTATTATATAAGATAATAATTAAGAATTTTGTTTGTTCTGTTAATTTTGTTAAAAATATTCTAACAAGGAGTATTTGTAATTTTTAAAATTATAATAGACAATTTGTATTTTAAACAAATTTTAGGAAATATATTTATCATTTATCTCATTAATTTATTTTCAATAATAATATGAGTATTGATATATAAATAAAAAATTCATAAAATTTCACTTTAAAATAAAATATTCGTAAATTGAGTTTAGTTACAAAAAATAATATTGTTATATTTTTTTATACGAACGGAAATTTTCTTATAATATTATGGGTTGTTGATGGAGTGCAACTCGTTCCTTCTTCATCATAAATATAGTTGAACAAGGAAACCAAATTGTGCGAAGATCTAGTCAGTCATTTGGTCATCTAACTACTGACTTCAAAGAGAAAAAGTCCAAATGTATGGGTTTTTTTGAAACAGCTAATAAGTCATTACAATTTAAAAGGAATCAATCAAGTATTATAAATTAAAATATTTAATAAAACAAAATATATATATTTGTAGGACAACGCTACCATACCATACCACCCAGAGGGGAAAAGTAAATATTTTTTTTTAAAAGAAAAAAGTGTTAGAAAGAGGGCCTACCTCAACGTAGCCAAGCCCTTCAGGATCTAACTCTTCCATGATTAGAGCTGCGTATTCCTCTGCTTGTTCTTTTAATCTTGATAATTTATTTGCACAAGCACTCAACATTATGATCTACACATTTGATATTATAAAATAAAAAATAAAATAAAAATAAAAAAACAAAGAAGAAGAAGAAAAGCATCTTGGTTAGAAATTGACCAAAAGCCTTACCAACTCCAGAAAAATAAATAAATAAATAAATAAGTAGAATTGGAGATGACATAAATCTAATTCAGATACTGATGCACTGCAATTTATATATTGGAGTGGTTGGTTTTGGAAGTTTTTGATTTAGTTGCACCACCATCAAGTAACTCATACCACAGCACCGATGCTTAATTTAACCAAATTAGGTTTTGCAGTAATGCTTTTGCAAGGAATAACACCTCTTTTAACCCCAAAAAAAAAAAAAAAAATTGTACACTTTATGTTACCGTAAGACTCAACAGCCATGGCCATAACTAGGGTGGCAGACATGTGTTGGCATGGGCGGATTTGAGCCAGACCCATAGTACATAATAATACTTAAACTGATTTCTCAAGTTTAGACTGGTTTGGGATTAGGCCTATTCTTTGGGTTGTTTTGAAAAGATGGTAAAAAGTAATTTTTTGACTTTTAACCAAGCTTTTGGCTTTTTTAGACAAATGATTTGGGAAGTTGGTAAAAAGTGACTTTTGACTTTTTTTATTAATGTTTGTTTATGATGTCAAATCATAATAAATTGACCAAACTACCCTCATTTATTTAAAATATTTACAACTTCACTTATGTAACACATTTTAACCCATGAGGGGTAAAATTGTAATTTTGCCGTTGGCTAAAAACCAACATCCCAAATAAAAAAAAAGACAAAAAAGCCAACTTTTGGCGTTTGCTACTAACCAAAAAAAATAACTACAAACTATGTTGCCAAAATAGGCCTTTATTCCTAAGCTTGTCTGAAAACAAATCTTCCGACATGACTTAGATATTATTTAATTTTTTTTTCATATTTTAAAATAAAAATTATAATTAATTTAATAATTTAGGGGTCTCTTTAACTTTAATAGTTTAAATTTCATAATTATGAAGTATTTTGGGAAGATGGTTAAAAGTTATTTTTTAGCTGTTTATGATTTTTTTTGTGAGAGGGTGAAGTGGGTTAAAAGCTAGAAAGTGACTTTTAACCCACTTCTCAAAATAGGCTTAATTGTTTACTTAAATAGTAATACATAGTTTATATTAATAAAAAACTAAAGTTAAACGACGTAAAACATATATAAAAATACATTATATCATAGTTTGTTGGTGGGTTAGGATTAAAGCACTTACACTACTCGGCCTCATATTCCTAAACCACACGAAACTCTACAGGTTCGTTTGGAATGTGTATTATCTTTTTGATTTTTTTTTTTTTTTTTTTTTTTTTTTTTTTTAGGACCATGTGTCACCCAATCCATTTGCCATCTGCTCCTTCCTTAGGTGACTTATCCAGGTGACTTATCCTAGCTAAATATGCATATTCATAACCTTATGTGTTAGGGTGGTGACAAGCCGTGTATATCCCATTTTTATTTATTTTTTATTTTTTTATTATTTACATTTCACTTTATCAACCATTCAATATTTTATTATACTCCAATTTTATATATATATATATATATATATAATTTATATCTTATATATATAGACTTTGACATATATATATTCAGCTATTATCTACTGGAAAAGTCAGCGTGCCATTTGTTTTATCCCTGGAATCCTTTTTCTTTTTTCTTTTTTCTTTTTTTCAACTTCATTCATGTTCATTAGTTGATCAAATTGTTAATTAAATTAATGGAACTGATTTTCTAATTTAATTTGAAACAAACGATGACAGCACCTCTTTAACTTCCTCTTCTGTAATTCTGCCATCCTCATTCTTGTCCACCCTGTAACGCAACCAATTAAACATCAATACTTCAATAATTATGTCTTTAAAAAGACAATTTTATCCTTCCTCAAATCAATCGTACTGTTTATTATATACTGCAATTATGGAAAAATTATTGCTCCACAGCTAATAAAACAAGAATTAATTTATTTAATTAAGAGATTAGAAGATTTACTTATTTTAAATCTACAGTAAATTACACTGACACGTTCTTGAAGTTTCTGTTTAATATATATCTCTCCTTTATATTTGAAAAAATTAAATTAAAATAACATATTTATCCCTTAAACTTTATACATATAAAATAATACAAATACTTTGTTCATATCATTTTAAGAAAATAATAATCATGTTCTTTGGTTTACTTCACACAAAATTTTGAGTTTTTTTTTAATTTTTCGTATTTTTTTTATTTTTACTAATTTTTTTAAAATATTTTAAACAATTTTTATTTTTATTTTTTAAATACACTTAATCTAGATTATTTGAGAAGTATAATATTTTGTGTTTTTTTTTTAAATTCACCAAATGTAAAAAAAATACAAAAATTCAATACACTATTATATTTTGTTGTATTCAATGGATTTTTTTAAAAAAAAATATATACAAATTTTATATTTTTTAAATATATCTAAATTAAATTAATCTAATTTAGATATAACGGTGAAAATAAAAAAAAATTATATTTATATTTATAAATTTATACAAAAAAATATCATAAAGAGGAGAGATAATCATTTAAAAAATTTTAAGGCATGATATCAGCAATGTATGGAATATTTGTAATTAGATTACAAATCTCAAGAAGGAGAATATAATTTTTCAAATATAAAAAAAAAATAATCTATATTAAATAAAAACCTTACCCTTAAATCTATTAATTTTTTGAAAAGAAAAAATAATAATGCATACATATCGAAGAAGATCTGAAGTCGAGAATCGAAGCTCTGATCAGTGATTTGAGACCAATACTCGTAAAGCTCATCTCTGCTGATCTTGTCAACATTCAACCTTCGTCGTCTGCTCAGAGCATCGAACAATTCCAACGCAAATTCCTTTGAATCATCTCTCATTCCTACAACCAGAAATGATAAAAATTGAGATTGAAAGTTTAAACACGCAATGAAATCGCACCATTGTAATTGGAGATAGTTTTATGACCTATGCATTGTCCGAAATCGGCACGATAGAGATAACCGTCCTTGGCAAGCTTGTTGAAGCTGTTCTGAACTTCGTTCCATCCATCGACGCTGTTGTTTTTGCTACTGCTGATGAATCTGAGTCCTTTTAGAGCTTTTTTGGCACCAGAACGAGTGCGATCGAGACGAGCTCTCTGTTGACGGAGAGCCCGAGCGGCCAAAGCAGAGTCCAGACCGTTGCTACCTCCTACTACGAGAGCGTTTTGAATCGCTGAACGCGACGCATGACCGTGACTCCACGAGAACCGCTTCAGCTCCGCCTTCAACTCCTGAGAGAAATGCTTCGCTTTTGCAACCGCCTCTGCTTTCAACTCTTGCGAGAACTGAAGGAGACGATTCGACGAACTCCGCCTCATTGTCGGAGACCGCGAACCAGAGGCGGACGCCGACGCGGGCGGAGTGTCCGCTCCTCCGAAGAAGGCGAACTCTCGGTCGATGTTAAGGATCGTTGCCGGTTCCACACTGCGGAGCACGATCGTGTCATCGTCTTGGAGGTCGAGTGTCACTTCGACAAACTCCTCCTTCGCCGGCGGCGGCGTCGCTGCAGATCCAGAGTCAGTTCCCGGCGAAGATCCGCCGCTCAGCGCCTTGCTTGAGACGGTGTCCGACGCCCATCGCCGCCCATGCCTCGCTAATTCATTCATTGATTGTTTTTAATGTAAAGATTTTATACAATAACTGTGGGAAGTTTATTTTCCAGCTAATATGCGCCTAGAGATGATGAAGAGAGAGAAGATTTAACATAAGAACACTAGTATAGTATGTTTGAACGAATTTTTTAATATTTGAAGTAGTGGAGGCATGTACGCGTCCGGAATCTCTCAGAAAAGACATTTACGCGGTGGCTACTTCTAGAGAGAGAAAAAAGAAAAAAAGAAGGTAGAGAGAGAGAAAAGCGAGAAAGAAACAAGTTCACTGGGCATTTGATGGAGAGAGAGAGAGAGAGAGAGAGAGGGGGACCGAAGAAGACTAGAAACGATTGAGAAAAAATGATACGAAATGAAAACAAAGTGAGCGAAAGAATCAGAGATGATTTCACTTTAGACCACGCTAGGCACCTTTTGGGAAGAAGATTTTTAAGTTTTTTTTGATTATTTTAGTTATAAAAAATAAAATACGTTATCTAAAGTGAAAAAGTCAAAAAGTCAAAAAGTCCTCCACAAACTAAACTTTTTAACCCAAGCTAAAATAGTCAAAAAAGTCAAAAAGTCAACCCACTTTCCAAACGGAGTCTAAGAATGGCAGTGTCGTTCTCTCTCTCTCACTAGAAGTTATTTTAGAAAATTGATTAAAAATTAATTTTTTGATTTTTTAAAAAAAATATATGAAAGATTTGAGAAATGATGTGATTGAAAATAAATTAAAATATAATTTTTGATTTTTAGCTATCTTTTCAAAAGGCCTAAATATATAAGAGCGTCTATATGTGGGAATATAGGTATCGGTGACTGATTCCGATTATGCGTGTACACAGGGGATAGAGTCTATAGCGTTTCTAGATTACACCTGACCCATTGTATGTTTTGGATCCAAATTTCGTTGTCTTATATAGTTATTCATGTCTTATTTCCCCTCATCTCTCTTTGAGTTTGGCTTTTGTGATGTGTTGATTACGTTTGGAATAGGTTGGTAACTTGTTTTTCAAACTTTAGAATGATGTGATTCAAAATAAATTAAAATATAATTTTTGATTTTTAGCTATCTTTTCAAAAAGGCCTAAATATATAAGAGCGTCTATATGTGGGAATATAGGTATCGGTGACTGATTCCGATTATGCGTGTACACAGGGGATAGAGTCTATAGCGTTTCTAGATTACACCTGACCCATTGTATGTTTTGGATCCAAATTTCGTTGTCTTATATAGTTATTCATGTCTTATTTCCCCTCATCTCTCTTTGAGTTTGGCTTTTGTGATGTGTTGATTACGTTTGGAATAGGTTGGTAACTTGTTTTTCAAACTTTAGCTATCTAGATTTTTGTTCCTTCGCTCGAGTGTCACTTCTTACGCTCGAGCGGTCTTTGTGATCATCCAGTACTTTTGCAGGTTTACAAAAATACTGGGAGTTTGTATTTTGTGCTCAAGCGAACTATGCGTATATCAGATTGCATAATCACATTTTTGGGTCACTTTTTCATTTCACTCTCTCTCTCTAAACATTCCAAAAAACTCTAGATCTAGACACACTCTCTCTAAAACTTACATTCTCTCTACAAAAACACCAAGATCTAGTGATTTCTTCACCATACTTCCTTTGTTAAAAGGGTAGAACAGTCTATAGGCTCTCTTTTCATCTGAACAAAAGTGAATTTCGACTTCTTTGAGGTTTCTCCACTCTCTCATTGGTCTCCTAGCTTTGAGATGGGGATTCTCCACATTGTAGTATGGGTTTTGCCTTTGCTATTTTCTATTTCAAAAGATTATAGTGGTTTGGGGGTTTTTAGCAAAAACCTAGGGTTTAAAATCAAAATGTAAAAGAGTGGTTTTCACATGGTTTTTTGAAAAAGGTTGTGATTATGGATTCAGGATTGATACATGTTGAAATGAGATATTTCTTGTATTGAAATAGATTTTCAAAGAGAAAGGGGTTTTGCCCTAAAATGTAAATGTTAAGATTGTAAAGAGAACATGGAATTGATATTGGAAATTGTGAAATTGAATTAATGATAATGATGAGGGTGGAGTTGGACATGTATTATCACTCTCATTTGAGATTTTGGAAAAGTATATCATTAATGGGAATTTATTTATCTGTTAGAGGTATTTGTTTTGGACTATCGGTGGAGGATTGCTATGATTGTTGTAAAAGTTGCATGAGGATTAGGTGAAATAAAACTAAATCCCCATTGAGCATTGCTATATACTAATTAATACATTGAAAATATATATGATTTTGAGAAAAATAGGTGAATTTGGGAAGAAAGTATGTAACACCAAAGTTAAGTTGGCTTGTGTGTCCAGGGTGAAAGTCTCGAAAATCGCACATATACATAGGTGTCGATCCTGCAGACAAAATATTCGTAAAATGACAATAGTTGTACTTGTATAGACTACGTTTATATAGGTTTTATTTGACAAGAAGTAGATGAAATATCCGTGAAAGGTTATACTTGTTTGAGATTTCCAAAGTTATACTTCATTACCCTATTTACTAATTGTAAAAGAGATGATTTGATGAATTGTGATATAAATTTCGCATGGCGTGGTTTTTGAAAGGAAATGTAAAACATTCTGACGTGGGCATTGCACATGCATTCACTTTATGGCTTTGTTAAGATTTATACATTGTGTTGTGGTATTTCTACTAGGCGTTGGCTCACTTTACGTGGGAAAATCATTTTCAAGTGCTGGTGATATGTCTCCGCCAAGGACTTAGCTTGAGAGGACTGTGGAGCTGAAAGCACATCATTTTTATTTTATATTTAAATTTTGTACAAACCTAGAGTTTTATCTGTATTAAGCTTAAGCCTTAGTTTCGATGTACCCAAGCATTGACTTGGAAAAATAGGGTACATGGTTATCTGTTTAGCTTTCATTTCTTTGCACTATCTTGTAACACATGTTGTAGATTCAGGATGTACTGTTTATGAATGTATATCGACTGTGTTACCTTTTGTATGACAAACTCTAATTAATGAAAGCATATCATTTCATTTATGTTGCTATCTATTAGTTGTTATGAGATGGATATATTGTGTTTATTTCAAGGCGTTACAGGACCGGTGGGAGCTTCGTAGTGGAATGAAAAGTGAGAAGATTGAAGTTTAGAGGTAACGTATCGACAATTAAAAATCTATTTAGAACTTAGACCATCTCCAACTGTGTATCAAACTTATCATCAAATTTGAATTTGATGAAAAATGGTTTCTTTTTGAGCTCCAATGGTTTCATCAAATCAGTATCAAATTCAAGATTTCACTTTTCTTTCATCAAATCATTGTTCATTGCCGTTGGATTTTCACCACCGAATGTCCCTCCGGATATTCTCCCGGATGACCACCTCAAGGCAAAAATTTGTAAAAAAATTACATTGGCTAGTCAACCGCCCAGTCGTCTGATCGGTCGACCCCCCCGGATGACCACCTCAAGAAAAAAAATTGTAAAAAATTTGCACTGGCCGGTCTATTGGTCGAACATCCACCCGGTCGTTCGCCCAGTCGACCGGTGGTCTAACGAAGCCACAAAACTCTCATTTGAAGCACTTGATATCAAAGAGAGTTTTTATTAAAATTTGGTAAAAAAATTGATACACCATTGGAGATGTTCTTACATATAATTTTACGGAGAAATTAAAAATTAAAAATAAAAACAAACAAACAAACAACTTACTGTTTAACTTTTATAATAAAATAAATTATAAAATTATAATTTTATTAATTTGAATTATCATTTTTTAATTTATTTTTAATCTAAATTATTTGTTTATTTTTGTTAAATAAAATCAATAGAAAAATAATATTTTAATCATTAAATTCAATAAATAATAATATTTTAGACATTTTATTAATATTTAGATTGAATTTAATCACTAAAATTATTTTTCTTATTTCAGTTTTAGTTAAAGGGTTTTAGGTTAAGGTCCCTAATATTATGATTTTATAAGATAAGGGACATGTAATATTTTTATAGTAGTTGGAGTCCCTTAACATTTTCACAACAAATAACTCTTCACAAAGAAATTTCAACTTTTAAAAAATCTTCAAAAAGAAAATTTCATAGAGAAATTTTAGTTTCTCACAGAAAAATTTCTTTATAATGGTCTGAAATTTCTATAATAATATTATTGAGAGACCTTAGCTAATAAGAAAAAATATATTGGACTTCTCCTACTATCTAAAGTTGGATAATGATGTTTAACTAATTTTTCCTTAAGTGGGCTTCATGGATATATACGAAGGATTTAAATTAAAAACAAATAAAAAATTATAACTTAAACTGACAAAATAAAAAATTTAAGATTTATTTTGTTATAAGGGTCAAATTTTGAGATTTTTTTTCTTTTTTTTTATTGTAACTATTTTTTTTTATTTAAAAAGATCATACAAAATAAAATGACAATATTATTTTATAATTGTGAACTATATTGGGCATTTTCATTTTCAATAATGTAAATAGGTGTATAGTTTTTTTTATATATGAATTTTGTTTGTTTAATGTTATTAATTTCGAAATATGTAATGTTATATAAATAAAAAATTATAATATAATAATTATGAAAAAATATATATTAAAAAATAAAATTTATGATATAAATTTAAAATTAGATATAGTGTAAAGCACACATAAAATGAATTTGTAAATAACTAAATAAAAATTTCAAATAGTGAAGAAATAATCATTTTTTTTATAATAAAGATTGATCTTTGGCTTTTTAATTGACAATATATAATAATAAGAAAAAGTTTGGGAAACTTCCTTCTCCATGTTTGTGTAAGAGTTTAAACTTCTTAAAAATTAACTTGATGAGAGTTAAGGTCCCTAGGATTTGAAATTTTGAAAGGATAAGAATAAATTTTTGCTAAAATAATCTGAAATACCATTTTTTACCTAAAAATCCTAAATTTTCTCTCTAAGAACATCTCCAACGGTTTAGCAAATTTTTCACCAAATTTGAGTAAAAAAAAAGATAATTTTCTCAATTTGATACGAGCAGCTCTAACCGTTGCACTGTAGCACGCATCAAAACAAAGGGGACGTCCGGTAGAACGACCGGTCGGTCGACCAGTTAGGCCTGAATTTTTTTTTTTTCAATTTGATAGTCAACCGGTTCTGTCTTATCTTGATAAGCAACCTCATTTTTGTCTTGTCTTGATTTTACAAATAAAGCTTTGAAAGCTTTCATCAATGGCAGTTTTAGATCTCATGTTTACTTCATGAAGAAGGGTCGTGAATTTTTTCCAAAAACAATCCAAAGTCTACATTTTTTTTATCCAATATGCAAGGCTTTTTTACAATTCCTCAACTTTTTCTTTTTTC